GCTGAGAAATCAGTTACCTCCTCTCGGGGCTGGCCAGAGAATTGGACACTTTTTTAAAAAATTTCATCTTTTTTAAAAAAAATTTATTAATTTTAATGAAAATTTATAGAGACTTTGGATTTCCAATCACTCACTGTTGCACTTTTCTCCCTGCCCCCCCACCCCCAATTTTCTCTTCTCTTTGAAAAGTAAAAGAAAAATTCTTTCATTGTTATACAATCCCTCCCCCCAAGTCCACTCCACTGTGCAGCCTTCATTCTGGACTCCTGTCATGACAATAATACCTAATCATATATCCCTTTTAAACAGTTTTCTCCCTCATCTGTTTCAATGCAGTATACATTATTTATCCCCTCTTTCTCAGTCTTCCCCCAACCCCGATGTCAGTCCCCTTTTACAACAGTGGCACTATGAAATATTTGTCCTTTTGTGACTGAAATATTTCACTCAGCATAATGTCACCTTTTTTTTTTTTTTTTTTAGTGACCCCCATCATTCAGTGCTGGGCATTTAGCAGCATCTGCAGAGGATAGGATAGAACACTGGCTATTAACTGAAAGATCGGTGGTTCAGATCCACCAGCTGCTCCACAGGAGACAGATGTTAACTGGCTGCTCCTGTAAAGACACACAGACTCAGAGTCCCCCTGGGACAGTTCCCTCTCCAACAGGGCCATTTGGAGTCAGGAGCAGGTCAGCATCTCAGCCAGGCTCTGCTCGGCTGAAACCCTCAGGGATGATCCTCTCGAGTCTCTTCTGGTTTCTCAGTGTCACCTGCACCCCTCTTTTGTGATTCTGTAACTATTCTGTCTTATAAGGGCACCATAGCCCAGCATGGCTTCCTGATAATGTCTTCAAAGACCTAACTCCAGACATAAGTATATGGGCCAGCAGTGCCCTTGATATATTTTTTGTGTGTGTGTGTGAGTGTACCGTCAAATCAGATCTGACTCGTACAGGAGGAGATTGTCCCTCCTTCCCCGGCAGAGCATCTGGTGGATTCGAACCGTGCGCCTCTGGGATTGTAGTTGCAGCTCCTTGCCACTAGGCCACCAGAGATCCCCCTGCCCTTGATATTTTTGGAGACCAAGTTCAATCCAGAATAAGGTCAAGGCTTCCCCCTCTTTCCTTCACCACTGGCGTGGATGCTGTTTCTAACCCCTCTTATCAGGCAAGAACCACACTTCCTCAAGTTCCCCATCTCATCAGTCTGCATCATTCATGTTTACTTTAAACCCTTTGAATTTAGTAGCTGTTTACCAAGAGCTCATCTTGAGCTCTGGGTCTTAAGGACACCAGGCCACCACGTTCATCTTTGGGGACCTCACAGAGCATGGAGCAGTGTGGTATTTTTGGTTGAAGAGACAGAGGATGAAGAAATAACTTTCTCATGGAAAGTTATACCCCATGCCTGCAGAAGATTCTGGGACTGTGGGTGAGGCATGGGGCCACTGATACCTGCTCCTGGTGTAGTGCAAGCTGAAGGGCCTGAAAGGAGTGAGTTACGTGCTGGCACTTGGAATGTGAGTTGGAGATCACACTGGATGCAGGGACATGGGGAGTGGTCAGGCAATGAAGGACTATCTCATGTACAATCTAGGGGTCAGTCATCAAGGTCTGCTTCTGAGATGAGCCTGAAGATCTGAAGCCTGATAGGAAGTTCTGGGAGCATAAGGTGACTATTCTATCTTCAACCAGGCTCTGGAACTATCTCCTGACTTCAGAGCTTCAAACTGATTTTTCTCATTCAGTCATTGTCACTGGAGTAAAAACCAAATGCACTTGAACTGGCAGGATGTAGGTGTGCTGAGTGAGAAAAATTGTGTATGTATGTACACACTTAATCCGGAGAAACAGCCAGATCCCTTGAACTTCACAGTCAGAGGCCGTGATGCCCGCTCTGAGCAGCTTGGAGACGTGTGCTTCCCTCCACAGTCCCGACAGTTTTCCAGTCTCCTGCGTCAGGCTCCTGACAGCACTGAGTAGCCTTCTGCCAGGTCTGCCATTCCAAGGCTTTAACCATCATTTTCCCTATGATGGTCATCGTTCCGGTCCTCTGACGTTTTAGAAATCTGGGTCCATTCTGGCCTTCTCCAAGCGCCGGCCATAACTGAATGCATTTGGATTGATTTGAAGTCCCTGCTAAATGGTTCTGTTAAACGCCTACTTCACGCCACATCTGTAAATGTCATCTTCTGGTCTACACCACAGTCCTGTATGGTGTTGAGTCCAGTGCATCCATTTCAACTTAATCCAGCAGTTAATAATGTCTTCAGGCTACTAACGGGGAAACTGAGGCACAGCTTGTATCCAGGCCGTCTTGGCAGCGTCTGCCACCTCCATGAGGAGAAAAGGGTGCTGACAGAGCCTTCGAGCCCCTTCCAGCTCCACGTAGGTGGCCATGCCGAGACCAGCCTGCCGTGTGTTCCACTCTTCTCCCACAAGGGTTTTACTGGCATAAAAGTGCTTGGAAAATACACAAAGGAAGGTGGCCGGCGTCCAGGCCTCTACTGTTTACCTTCAGCAGAGCGACCAGGAACACACGAGAGTTTATTTCCCAAACAGCCACGGTTGTCAGGTCCCCGGCCAATGCGAGATGAGGACAGAGCCCCGGGACCTCTGCCCACCTCACGCCCCAGACTGGCCTCGGGGACCTCACTATGTGAGGAGAGCTGGGAGCTTCTCTTCGATGCGTGTGGAGACGAGGACGCCTCCTGACAATCTGAGGCACGTTGCTCAGCACCCACGTGTGACCTCATTCCGTTCATCTGTGGTTGCCTTGGCCTGATAGGGGTCCCTCCTTCCTGGACCTCATCACGTGGAGGTGCGGCTTAGAGGAAAAACGGATCATCTCAGCGACTTCCAAGACTGACCAAGTCCTTGCCTGTATTTCCCTCTCACCTCTCGTTTCTCTACTTTCCTTCAAATTCTGTGTTTTGGGGCAGGAGGTTGGGCAGGATTGTAATGTGAAATCCAGAGGAGACAGATGAGCCCTTCTAACGCCCTGTTTTATGGAAGGTGAAACTGAGGCCTAGAAAATGACCAACTAGGTTGGAGACAGATCTGGGATCCTGACAGCTGGGCCTAGGAGGAGGCCTGGGTGTTGTGGGGCCTTGGTTCTGTCCCAGCTGGGCCACAATAACACCACAGCTCTGTCCTGACCACGTGTCCTTCCTAGGGCCTTGGGGTCCCGATCGGTGAGGGTGGGACATCACTAACCCGTGGGCAGCTTTGAGGATGGGTAGTGTCTGGCGTGAAAAGACCCTGAGCTGAGTGTGCCCCGTACTCCACCCCATCCATGCGCCCTCCTGGCCTGAGCCCAGGAGAGAGCACGCTCACCTGCACCTGGTTTTCATTCTGTTTTCTTGTTTGTTTGGTTTTTTGTTTTTCACAGCTGCCTTGGCTGTGGGTGTGGGCGTGTGTATTCTTCAGTAAGTTCTCTCTGTGAGACCCAGGGGATTTTTAGTAAATAGGATGACTCCTGTAACATCTTTCCTGGCAGGCAGTGGAAAGGAACTGTGGAGGGTCCCAGCAGCCTGACAGCAAAGAGGTGGCGCCCCCCAGAGGTGTGCACATCACAGAGTTTATTAACGGGCACGGGAATCGACAAGCGACAGAAGTGTCCTTGGCAGTCACTCCTGCTGCCCCCAGGCCTGAAGGGACCAGGGGACAGAGGCAGGGTGCTGCGGTGCCCTGCCCAGCAGAGTCTGTGCCCGCTATAGGGAGACAAAACCCCACCTAATCCACTGCCCCCGAGTCAGTTCTGTCTCACGGTCAGGTTCTTGAGCTGGCAGACCTGTAACGCAGGGGGAGACTGTGCCGTTGTCCTAGGAGTGGCTGGTGGCTTTGAACTGATGACATTTCAGGTAGCAGCCCAGCTCTTTAAGTCCTCTCTCCCCTTCACTCCTGTTGCCTCTTGCTCAGCTAGATTGAGCCCAAAGCCCACATGGACTCGGCTGCAGGGGACAGGGGCCAAGCAAGACCTCAGGCCTGGGTCTGCCCCGTAGCCCACCGCTTTCCTCCTGGCTTGTCAAGTCTTGGCTTTCTGATCGCCTTGGTTTTCAGTGCATCCCTCCCGGCACCGTCAGCCGAGGGAGTGATATGGGTGAGCTCTTAGCACAGTGCCCACTTAGTGAGGCTACTTGGTGCTGTCACTGTGGTCTCTGTGCTATCTGTGAGACTCGGCCAGGAACCCTGGCAGCAGCTGCATGTGGGGGTGGGACTGGTGGCCTGCCCTGGCTCCTGCTGAGGCCACCTGAGGGGGTCAGCCAGGGTACTAGCCTGGCGCCACTCCCTCGGGGGCTGTCGCTGCTGGCGGCGGCGGCCATGTGCTGAGGCAGACATCTGGCACGTTAGGACGCCTGGTGTCTGGCTGCTGCCGCGGCTGGCAGGTGTGCTCATCCTGGGGTCAGGTGATGCTGGTGTCCGCCAGCTGTCTGTACCGGCTCCCCTGGGGCTTGATCTTCCCAACCCTGAGCTCTTGAAAAAATAAACACATCCTCCCCCGTGGAACAGGTCCAGGCAGCCTGTCTCCTTCACGTGGTCAGGATCGGCCCAGATGTCAGCTCCGAGCACAGGCAGCTGCACCCGACGTCAGTCCTCAGGTCCCGGAAGACCACAGCTAGTCTGAATCGGCGTGTGGTTTTGTGAGATGACACTGACTTTGGAATCCCGAGTTTAGCCGGGCTGTGTGATTTCAGTGTTTGACTTCCCCTCTCTGAGCCTGGTTTTCCTTTCCTGGAAGGTCTAGGCTTTTGAGCAGACAGGATGTGTTCCAGGAACACTCTGTGTTTGACGCTGTGACTCTTGTGTTCCCAGATACACTTCATCTCCTTGATTCTGTTGCTGCATCTTCTGCAGCCCAGGAAGCATGGCATTTGGGGAACCCAAGATACAAACCTCGGGCCTGCCCTCGAGGAGCGAGGAGACTCAGGACGGGGATGGTGGGGGTAGAACGGGGGCCGTGGGCCGTAGTGCTAACGGTGCCCCTTTTCTTTACAGTTGAACCTCAGCCAGCCCATCGAGGAGCAAGGCCCTTTGGACGTCATCATCCACAAGCTGACAGATGTCATCCTCGAAGCTGACCAGAACGACAGCCAGTCCCTGGAGCTGGTCCACCGGTTCCAGGTGAGCCAAGACTGTGGACTGCAGCTGAGGGGTGCAGGGGCCTAGGGGAAGGCTTGGGGTGGCCCGTGCGTGGACTCTGTCTCAGACGACAGAGGGGCTGGTCATCAGGGGCTTCCCCAGGGCCCCAGCCCTCGGTGTGAAATAGGGGGTGAACTCGGGCACGGTGAGAGCCCCCCATCCCCACTGGTGCATACGTTATTTGCTGAGTGCAGCATTTGGTTCAAAAGCTCCAGCACAGTGATGGTCACAGTGATGGTCCCGCCAACAGGGGAGATGGGGCCCTGAGGGCTGAGAACAGGGGGAGCCGAGCTAACCAGAGCCCTGCAGCATCACCTTGGCCATGACTGTGCTGTACCCTGTGTGCCTACCTGCAGGCAGCTTCGGGTGTCTAAGTGAGCTGGAGCCCACAGCATTACACCTCTCCTGCCTGCTCTCAGGCTTTGCCTGACCCCGGGTGACTCTCCCTGGGTAGCCGCTGCTCTGGCCACCACTGCCTCGCCCTGTCTTCTCCGCTGTGGACAAGAACAGGCTTTATTGTTCTGCTGGAGAGTTGCTCTGGGGCAGTGGACCACTGGTTCACATTATCAGTGGAAATGTGGCTGCTAGCTGGGGGGCTTCTGCAGGGCCTGCCTGGGGGAGGTGATGCTTGGGCACCACTTGTCAGCGTGCGCAGTCAGGAGAGGCTTAGCCACCACCTCCTGGCACGGACACAGTAGCTGCTCTGCTTGATTGGACTCAAGATTGAGACCCCCCCCCTCCCCAACCCATTCCTGCTTCCCTGGAGATATGGCCCCAAAACTTTTCCCACCCCTGGGGGTGTCCCCCCCCTTCATGTGCTCAGGGACCCCTTCCTTGCCACTGGCCTTACCTGCCAAGTACTGGGAGGCTTCACAGAGCTGGAGCCCAGGAGAACGGCACTTTGAGGCTCACCTGTGGAGCCTCAGTGTTCTCATCTGTATAGTGGTCCGACTAACTGTGCAGCCCCATACGGTTGGGGTGAAGAGAAAAGAGCACCGTGCCGTGTTGCTGTTAGGTGCCATCAAGGCAGCCATACTGGTCCTGGACCGGGCTCATAACCGTTGCCATGGTTACGGCCACTGTGTTGTTGAAGCTCTTCCGCTTTGTCATGGACACTCTCCCAAGCACGATGACCTTGTCCAGGGACTTCTTCCCCCTGATAACACTCTCAAAGTACGTGAGCATTCTGGCTGCACGTTCTCCATAGTAGAGTCCTTCTTTTTCTTGACGTATATGGTGAGCACAGAGATCTAAAGTGCTTAGCCCAGCGTGTGCCCCTCACGGGTGCTCAGTACATGGTTGGTGTGATAGCAGGCTCCTGCTGCTCTCCCGAGCTGCAGAATGCACACCCAGCCCACAGCCCAGGGCAGTGGAAGAGAAAGGAGCCCCTATTTCCCTGTTCTTGCAATGAGAGAGAGCTGGCAGGTGGGTCAGGTGAGGCAGAAGGTGTGGGCTGCAGGTGGGAGCCCTGCTGAGCTTCGGGGTGGCCCCTGTGGTGGCCCCAGCCCAAAGCACATGCCCCTGAGCTCTCCACCAACGAGGTGACCTCAGCATAACCTCTAAGCCTTGGGGTAGATTTTCACTGCAGGGCTACAGCCTGAAGCCGGATGTCTGATAAGGCCGGGAGGTTTCCTTCCTCCAACGAGAACAATCCTTTCGGGAAAAGGGTGACAGACTGCTTTCTAGAGGCCTAGGAAGACGGGGGTCAGGCAGAGGGGGTGGGGGGAAGGACCCTGCACTGGGGAGAGGGCTGGGAAAGGTGGGGGTAGATGGAAGAAGAGGGGGAGAGGGGAGGAAGAGTGAAAGGAGAGGAAGGGAACAGTTGGGTGAGAGGGTTGGGGGCGGGGAGTGGGGTGATAGGTGGGGGAGACAGGAAGTGGGGGCAGGTAATGGGGTGATGGGAGAGAAAGGATGAGGAGTGGGTGGGGGTATAGGGGTGAGAGATGGCAGAGAAAGGGTGAGGGGGTGAGTGTAAAAGGGGCAAACAGAAGGTGGCTGAGTCTGACCTCAGACTTCTTAAGGGGGTACTGTCCCTACTGACAGTATCTACAGTATAAATCATTCTTGTTAAGTCAGACACAACCCCACACCCCTGAACCTATCATCTCCTAATTACTAGGCTTGATACTTGTTGTAGATAGACCACACAGACTGGACAAAACTTTTTTTTTTTACTTAGAGTTGTGGGGTTTATTAGGGAAACAGGTTGAGGGGTGGGGAGAAGGCAAAGGGTATCAGACAGTGAAAGTCCAGGGTTGGTGAACCGCCGTAGCAAGCCAGATTAACAGCAAGATAGTAATTCCTCAGTTAGTTCAGACAGCTTCTCAGTCAGCAGGAAGAGGTCCAGGCTTATTCCGGCCGTGGTCTCCTCGGCTGACCAGCAAGCTCTGTGGGATAGTCGTCAGGAGGAAGCAACCCCTTCAGTCATCCGGCAAGAACCTTTGGCTCTGGCTTCGTCTCCTGGGCTCCATCAGGCTACGCCTCAGCCATCTCTCTGCTATGTTGGAGCCGATGTTGAACTGACTGATGGGGAACCCTGTGTCTGCACTTGAGGCCTCTGGAGACCACGCCCCCAGGGCAGGCTAAGGCAGTGGCTGCTGCTGATGTTGTGTGCAGATGCATAGCTGACTCTCTAGGGGCTTTTCAGAGGCAGTAAATCACATTGCCCATCCTTCTCCCAAGCAGCAGCTGGTGGATTTGAACTGTGTATCTTTGGGGTTGCAAGCACAGCTTCTTACCACTAGGCTACCATAGCTCCTGGCAAAGCCATTTTCAAAAGTCCTGACACAACAGGGAGTGACCGGGAAGAGGAGTGTGAGAGGGTGGAAAAAGGGGGTTGGGGTGGGGAAGAAGGGATAGAGGAATAAGGAGGGGAAACAGTCGTGGGGAGGTGGTCCCTCAGCCCCACCCAGGCCTCGCTCCTCCCACAGCTCAGGGGCGATTGACCTGTCCTCTCCCTCAGCCATCCAGTGTGAGAAATTGACATCTAGCTCTTAGCCAGACTAGGGGACGCTGACCCAGGTCTTCATCCTGGGCCCAGCCTGCTGTTTTCACCATCTGTTTTAATGCTGACTCCTGGGGAGATTTACAATGTGGCTTGGACTTGGATTTGGGGAACAGGTTGACACAGAGGCTGGTCCCCACTCAGAGGCAGGAGACAGAACCCTGGAGGGTGTGCAAAGCTGACCTTCCTCTGTTTGCTGTCTGGGGGTTTAAAAACTGGGCAGAGGCAGTTTGCCACAGAAGGAACTGTCTCCAGAGATAATGCTCAGGTCCCTGGGTAGGTACGTTGGTGGCATGCAGATCAAGAAAGATGCGTTTCTAAGCCATCCCTGACAGCTCTAGAACATTCCACCCGTGGGATTCTTTCCCCAGCATTCTTCCAATAACCTCCAGGCCCCAGGAATGGAAAGGAATTCTCGGAACTGAGAGCGCTCGCCTTTCTCAGCTGTCCTTGTGCACAGGTTGGAGGGTGTAGTCCCGGCTCCTTGGAGATCATTAAAGCTGGTTGCCATAGAAACCACCCCCCTGGTGTTTTTTTTTCATTGGCCTCAAAATGCCTTGGCCTGGAGAATCCTCCAGATGATTCAGTTGTTTTTTTGCTCCAAGGTTCACGTGGAGCCAGCAGCCTGGTGCCACTGTGGCTGAGCCTGAGGATTTATCATCAAGCAGACCGGGCAAAGGTGCTGGGGCCTCCCCAGCGTGGTGAGCGAGGCCAGGGCCTGGCGTGAGGGGCCCCAGGAGGGGGCTACCTGGCCTCTCGGACAGCTTCCTCGGGAGCAGCAGGGACCTCTTGCAGTGACATCCGGCGCTGCCTGGTCTAGGTGTGAGCCTCCCCTTCTGCCGCCCATTCTGGCCCCACGATTGGCCTGGAGGGCTGCTGTGGCCCTGGCGGCCTTGCCCTGGAGATTTCCCCCAGGTGTGTCTCAGTTCCCTTGTCTGTGAAATGGGCAGGAATTCCCCCTAGTTACCTGCTCCACTGTTAATTTAAAGGTTAGAAATTCAGGTCCATCCCAAAATACCTCAAAAAAAAAGGCCTAGCGCTGTGCTTCGGAGCCATCAGCTTCTGCAGTCCCTCCAGAGCACGCGTGGACCGCGGCGACGTGAGGCGGCACTGATGGGTGGGAACAGTTCTAGGACCAACCCTGGGACGAGGCGAGGAGGACAGTGTGTGTGCTGGCACCTGGGGGGCTCCTCAGTTCTGTGCCTGCACTAGGTGTGATGACCTCACGGAGAAAAGGGGTCCCTGCATGCGCCTGGCCGGGGCACAAGAGGTGGCACACTCTCATATCCTGGCTGTGTGTGACCAGCCCCTCGCTGGCTCTGACTGCAAACGCCGAGTCCCTCCTGATGGCTTTCGGGCTATCCCTGCTCCCAAGGATCGGGCCTGGCTGGGCTTTCCTGTGGTAACAGGACAGCTCCTCCAGCTCGGCGGCCTCGCCAGCCGGGCCCAGTCCAGCCCGAGCCAGACGCCCATGGAGGGCTGGCCATTGCGCTGCTGTGCCTGGGTCCCTGGGTGATGGAGCAATGCCGACAGGCGTAGGACAGAGGGAGGGGTGTGGCAAAGTGAGTGTGACTCTTCGTTTCTGCTGCGGTGGGACACATGCCCCAAACTCTTCAACTTCACCTGTCACGCCAAGCCTCACGGCCACAGCTGACTTTCAGGGACCAGGGACACAGGGTCACCCTACAGGGACCCACAGCTCCTCTTTCTTCCTGCTCGTTCACCACGTAGTAGTTTGTGTGTTGCTGCAGTGCTAAGAGCCACACCACCGGTATCCCACCAAGGTCACCAAGGTGGCCACTGCAGGACCACAGACAGACTCTGAAGAAAGGCCTTGTGATTTACTTCTGAAAATCCTCCAGTGCTGCCATATGGGTCACAGCAGCGTGTTGTCAGGTGTAGGGGAGGGAGACGGCCCCCTCAGGTGGACGGCACTCAATGCGTCACAGTGAGGATGGTGGGCACTGGCCAGCGAGCA